TTATGTCAAGTCTAACTACTAAACTAGGTACTGTCCTAGGTCGTTATGTCAAGTCTAGCTACTAAATTAGGTACTGTTCTTGATCAAGACTAGCTTCTATTGTACTTGGTCATGTGTAGTTACTAACCTGGGATTGACCTCACATCCTTGCATCAAGAGACTCCCAACGGTAAACCACAACGTATTCAGTAGAGTGAACTGGTTCTCCAAAGTGTCGGGATGAGGGTCACAGGGGTGCGGATTAGTCCATTCGTACGGACTGAATCTTGCCACGATGAATAGAAAGAGACTAACTCCGAGAAAAGCCGTTACCATGTACACCCAAACCTCCAGGGACAGAGGGGATAGAAAAGAAAACAACATAGGAATTTTTTTGGTAGGTTTTTTAAAAAGGATGCCTATTCCCAAATTCATGAAAGGCATGGTAAAGTCAACAGCGTCTTCCCGCTCGTAGGTTACCGTCAGGTCTCCTACAGCCAAATCTGCTTTCTAGATAATCCAACAGAAAAATTATACCTCAAAACATAGCAATATTAAAACATCCCTTCATGTTTTCCTTCAAAACTACCAACGTGTTGAAAAAATTTCGCATTTCCATCAAGACATTTATGAATGAGTCCCATAAAAACAAAGGCAAAAGAACTATTAGCATTAAATATTATATATATATATACACACACATTAAGCCCACTTTTTTGAACAATGTAAACAGTGTTGATGTTTTGTGATTCATTTAAAATTGATCCAGGTTAAGAATATTTTCCTTCAGCAATTTGCGATATGTATAAAATTCCATAAAACATAATATATATATATGTCGTGTACTTGATAATGAAGAAACCGAATGTTATGATTTATACATACAGAACTTTTCATAGTAAACTTACATTTTCGAGTACAGATGCAATATACCTTTATACAACTATAAGCTTGTGTTATAAAATATTATTTAAACGAGATATAACACTTGAAATTTGGATTTTCTTTTCTGAGGAAGTGAAAAAACAACCAGAGCGTTCAATATTCGAAGGCGCGACTCTGCTTAACAGGTTTGATTTGGTTTGTTTGGAAGTTCGCGCAACGCTACACGAGGGCTATCTACACTAACCGTCCCTAATTTAGCAGTGAAAGACTAGAGGGAAGGCAGCTAGTCATCACCACTCACTGCCAACTCTTGGGCTACTCTTCCACCAACAAATAGTGGGATTGACCGTTACATTATAATGCCCCCACGGCTGATAGGGCAAGCATGTTTGGTGGGACGGGGATCTGCTTAACAGATAGGAATTTTATTCCACTAACCTGTATCGCATTTGAATTGTCACAACTCCCAATTTTCGCTTCCTTTCTTAGATTTAGGCTGGGCGTGATCTATTGGTCAGCGTGTCCAGTCTATAAATCCGATGGTTCATTGTTCTCGTCTCCTTATTGCATAAAGTTAGCGGTGGGTGACTTTGACTAGCTGATTTCTCTTTAGTTTATCAGCTAAAAATTAGATATGACTACGTCCAAATAACCATTGTGTAGCTTTGAGCGAAATTCTGGAACAAACTCTTGGTAATAATAATAATAATAACCATAACGTAAAAAACTAGGAAGTGGTAGCATTCGAAATGCAGGGCTCGGCATGGCCAGATGGTTAGGGCCCTCGACTCGCAATCTGAGGGTCGCGGGTTCAAATCTCCGTCCCGCCAAACATGCTCACCCTTTCAGCCGTGAGGGCGTTATAACTTGACGGTCAATACCGCTATTCGTTGGTAAAAGAGTAGCCCAAGAGTAGATGACTAGCTGCCTTCCCTCTAGTCATACACTGCTAAATTAGGGACAGCTAACGCAGATTGTCCTCGTGTAGCTTTGCGCGAAATTCAAAACAAACAAAAATCGAAATGCAGTAGCTTAATTGCATAAATACATCTACCTAGTACGCAATGTCACTCGTTCGAATTTCATTCGGCCTCCATATTAATTTTTCTTAGAAGTATTCTTAATATTTTATTAAGAGTTGTTGTTTTTTTTTCCTGTAAAGAGCTAATAAACGAACCCCTTCTATTAACTCTTGAATCATGCCGTTCCATTCTCCCCACGTGTTCTTCTTTCCATATGTATTATCACCGACTTCTCTAAATTTATACTTGAATCCAAGTTCTTTTGCAATTTCTTTGATTAAGTCCACACAATAGCCTTCAAACTGGTCATTCCCTGTTAAGGTTTGGTCTTCCTTCAGTACAACGTAAGGGGGATTCTATAATACGAAGGTGAATAAACTGAATATTATTATGATGTAATACGGATATAAAATAGTTATATCTAAATAATAGATAAGGTGATCAGTAGTATTGTCACAATAAAGTAATTTCTCTTCAAAAATAGGTTATTAAAACTGTAACTGATTGTAGATTCTATTTGTCACAAAATAACTTACTACCGTATTATTGTAACAAGAAGGTTTCTGTAGTTCACATAGTAACCTACTATTGCATTATTGTTACAATAATGTTTCTGTAGTTCATAGAATAACTTACTACTGTATTATTGTTACAAGAAGGTTTCTGTAGTTCACACAGTAACTTACTATTGCATTATTGTTACAAAAAGGATTTCTGTAGCTCATAATATAGGAGCAATTTTTCGTAAAGGAAAACATCATAATATTTCAAACTAAACATTTACTAACTCTAGAATATTTCGTTTCTACAACTGCAACTGATTGGTACTATTTGGTATACTTATATATCCTTAGTGAAGCTACTCACAATAAGAAGACTCTCCTGTTGTTATTTTAATAATAATTTTAACTTTAATTCTTAAACTTCCATAAACACAAGTGAAATTTTATGACGCCAAGTATCGTCTTCATAAGTGTCAGTATGACGTGAAAAAATTCCATATGAATAACAAAAAAAAAAAAAATTAAGAAAGAAACAGGATTGATGCAAAAATGAACACAAAATTATTCCACCGGGCGATGAAAGCAAACTATTGACTGGCTTAGTTAAATTTGTGTTGAATGAGTCATATAAATCTTACTACAGTATAGTAAAAAAAAAATTGAGCCAGTGGGTTTACCAGTCACATTAGAATGCTGCTTCTGAAGAAATTATAAACACGAAACGTTGATAGGTAATATTTTTTCCTGAGTTATCAATCGTTTAGTTGAATCAGCTATGCTCAACATTACTTCAGTCTGTCCAATGAAAAAGCACAATATAATTTTGCCAGTTATAGAATAATTTAGCGACTTTTTTACATAATAAAATATCTTACCAACAACGTTGTCACAACAAGAGTTCTGTTCTTTAACGTGGCTTTAACTCCTGCAAAAGCTTTGGATGTGTTACTAGTGATATTGATTCCCTCCTTAGTGCTCCAGTCACCAGCCTGAGTAAAGAACAAATACAAAATATTTAATGCTAGTTTTCTTTGTACGTAGGGGAAGCTTGGAATATTTTTTTCCACGACTATATAGAATTCAACACATTACAAATCTAAACTTGTTGTATGATTTTCAACGTGATTTTGCGTACACGTGTCATTAAGCTTTTTTATAAAATACTTGCCAGATAAAATATTTATAAGTTTCCCACTTTATGTAATATTAATTTGATCGAATTTTTGGTTTGTATCAGAATTTTCTTGAAAAGCTACATAAAGTACTATCTGCGTTAGCCATCTCTAATTTTAAATTGATAGACTAGAGAGAAGACAGATAGTCAACAGCACAAACATCCCACTCTTGGCTACTCTTTTTCCAGGATGACAACATAAAAATTTTGTTCTTACTGAAAAAAACAGTGACATTTTTTTTACTTGCACTGTATTTCTTCCAGACATTATATTTTTTTTGGTGCTAACTGGCTTGCAAACAGTGTTAAAATGCTACTTTTTTAAAATGTCTGTTTGTAAATTCAAGGACGGTTGGCTACCCTGATCTTGTCTTAGGGAATAATTGTATTTGACTCTCAGTTTTACAACGTACCTAAAGCTCCAAAGAGCAGAGCGCATTTTCACGTCAACGGCCTGAGAAGCATTAATACCCAGATTCAAAGTCCGAGCACGCCAACCACTGGGTCACGCCTCACTGAATTACTTCTGCACATTTCAGAATTCAAGAGGCATTACTTATGCAAGAGCAGGCTTGCCAATTTATTTTCCTGCATATATAGCTTTTGGTTTTTAGGTAATTATTAGGTTCTAGTATGAAATTTGTTTAAATAACATCTCAAATGTTCGATAAAACTGAGAATATCTTAAACAGTTTTCTTATAAGGTTAACCAATTATGTTGATTTTAATTGTAAAGTAATTTTGTTAAACGTTTAGGTTAGCAATGATAGAAATCATCAAAATTTGTTGCTTACATAATGTAATCCTTCACGAGTTAACTCAATCAGTTTCATCTTAAAGTCCGAACGAAATCCAAACTTGTCGAACCTGATTTCTCCAGTTAGCCCTCTAGTGGTGATCTGGAAGAAATTACAAAACACAGATAAAGTATGGAAATGATCGCAAAAAGAAGTCATAAAATTTTTATTTTTATGCATTTAATATAAAGTTTTATACTGAATTATTATTTGGGATTCAGTTTACAGTTTGTTTTTTATTTGTTTGTTTTAACGCAAAGCTACATACACTATAGCCTAACTACGTTCTGTCCACCATGAAGATCGCACGCCGATTTTTAACATAATAAATCCGTTATCTTACCATTTACACATAATATTAATATTAGTTACATAATATTAATTCTGCAAAAGTATGTTCTTTCTAGAAGAAAACACGATAACGTATATTCATAATTTTTTGTAAATTTGTTTTTTATGAAAACACTTTTATTCTTGTAACAACACAGTGCTTTAAAGCAGCAAATATAATCAATTCAATATAATAAAACAAAGAGAGCGTAGAAAACAACATATCTGACTCCTGATATAAATTCACGACTATGAGATACAAAGCTGAGCCTACATCCAAGACAAAAAGACCAGCATTGGCATTGTTGGGAGGAGGAGCAACCCCATTCAAAAGATATACAGATGCACGTTGCTATTATCTGCTGTTTTTAGTAGTATATTCACACTTTTTCTTTACTTTCTCAAAATTATCACAGTACTCCAGGTTTAATTAAATCAACCCTATGGAAGCGCACTCTACATACTTTACTCGTTAGATACTTTTATGTCTCCGCAGAGAGACATAGTGTTTTTTTTATTATTTATTATTCTTCCAAACATCTTTTCATCTTTGATAGGTTGTTTAGGCAG